TGTTTGCAGCTAGAACAGCTGGCTGCCTAAACCAGACAAAAAAACAGCTGGGCCAGGTTGAAAGACCATCTAAGACAAGCTTAAACAAGTTAAGACCAACTTAGGCTTAAAGCATTTTTAGCAGGCATTTCTTATTGTTTAAAGGCATAGTTCACCCAAAAACTACAATTCTGTTGTCATTTACTCATGTCGTTCCAAACCTATATATGAACTTCTGTTATTCTGGGGAACATGAAAGAAGATCATTTGAGAAATGGCTCTGGCTTTTGGTAGTTATTAACATTCTTCAAAATATCTTCTTTTGTGTTTCGCAGAAGAAAGAAAGTCATACAGGTTTGGAAAAACATGAAGGTGAGAATTTTCACTTTTTGGTGATCTGTTCATTTAACTCTGGCTTTTTAAGTGAGGATGGGAAATTATGAGAAGCAATGTAACAACTCCAAACCCACTTCTCCCACATGTGCACAATATCTGGATTGCATCAGTGTGCTAATCACTAAACCATCATAGTGGTTTTTTATCTCTGACTTTGTTTTCTTATGCAAACTGGAATTTGTGGAATTAGCAAAATTGTGAGGGTAAAAAGCAGAGGGACTATATCCCACACATTACATGCTGAACGGTTACAATCTCAAAGTCTGTGCTTGAGACAACCTTGCATTAAACAAACCTATAATTTTAGACCCTGCTGGAACATGTTAAAATGACAATAATTGCTTTGACTGTAGTCAGATTTGTGAATGATTTATAATTACTTGTTACTCTCCATAAACACAGAAAGCAATTAGATGTTCTTTATGAAAGACTACTGCTAAATTATTCACTGGCTGTCGATCAAAGAGGACACGCTGAAACGAGGCCAATGAGGCGTCAGGAACAGGATCATGTCGCAATTACTAAGCAACTGGAAATCTTCATGCTATTTGGAGAGCAGTCTGACAGCCTGAACTGTTGTGGAATTGTAAAAATCACAGGGATGTATAAAAAAAAATCAATAACCTATCAATCAGTTCTATGGGAACTGTAAGAAAAAGCAAATCCTTGGCAGTCAAGTAGCATTGTGTTGCCTTAAATTCCTTAATTTCACCTTGTATTTATTCTTTTATTTTTGGTAAATATGTACTTTTGATGTTTTTGGATTTATTTCCACAGGAATAATACAGAGAGCACTTCGGTAACCAAAAGCCAGAAGTCGCCACTGCGCTGCATGTCAGAATGCTGCCTACAAGGATATTAGCTCCAACATATTTTCGATCTTATATATGTCCTGTGAGGTTGTTATGTTGTATCCTCTGTGTGATTTTCTCCCAAACCAGTTAAACGCAAACCCTGTTGCCAGCTGTTTCCAACTATTATTGTTCTTTTGCCCTGTATATAATGTTAGTCAAAAAACAAATTAATGTATGTTGCCCTGTACAAGTTTAAACCTTGTTATTTAAAGCATAATTGCTTAAGAGCATCCTTTATCTTGTTCGGTCCCACACTATGCTTTTCTTTTAGATATAATTATGCCCATGATAACTGCTTTAAAACTGCAGTTCATTGTAACACAGGATTGTTATAAAATACTGACAATTTCACTCAGGCAATACAACTAACCACATCTACTAGTCTTTAATCACTATGTTATGCTTGCCTTAGATCTTAAGTAGAAGCTAGTTGGTACAAATAGAGGGGAACCTTTGAAGAAATTGATTTGAAAAAGATTAGGGCAATTTCGCTGCTTCTGCTGAAGCTTGTTCTGTCTTGTCTTAAGAAATGCCCATGTCTGAGGTACTGAGTGGTTAAAAAAGGTGGCACAGGTTTTCAGAGACAGCTGCGGAAGAAACTAGAGAAGGTAACAGACTGATTGTTACCTTTATCGATATCGAATGAAGCTTTTTCCCGGCCATCTTCTACTATTCTCCCAGGAAGAGTCAATCTGCAAGGTTAATGATTACATAGATTCATTAATAACGGTACAAATAAAAGCACAATATATATATATATATATATATATATATATATATATATATATATAAT